ACTTCCAGTACTATATTGAATAGGAGTGGTGAGAGAGGGCATCCTTGTCTAGTGCCGGATTTCAAAGGGAATGCTTCCAGTTTTTGCCCATTCAGTATGATATTGGCTGTTGGTTTGTCATAAATAGCTTTTATTACTTTGAGATACGTTCCATCGATACCGAGTTTATTGAGGGTTTTTAGCATAAAGGGCTGTTGAATTTTGTCAAATGCCTTCTCTGCGTCAATTGAGATAATCATGTGGTTTTTGTTTTTGGTTCTGTTTATGTGGTGAATTACGTTGATAGACTTGCGTATGTTGAACCAGCCTTGCATCCCCGGGATGAATCCTACTTGATCATGATGAATAAGTTTTTTGATTTGCTGTTGCAATCGGCTTGCCAATATTTTATTGAAGATTTTTGCATCTATGTTCATCATGGATATTGGCCTGAAGTTTTCTTTTCTCGTTGGGTCTCTGCCGGGTTTTGGTATCAGGATGATGTTGGTCTCATAAAATGATTTGGGAAGGAGTCCCTCTTTTTGGATTGTTTGAAATAGTTTTAGAAGGAATGGTACCAGCTCCTCCTTGTGTGTCTGGTAGAATTCGGCTGTGAACCCGTCTGGACCTGGGCTTTTTTTGTGAGGTAGGCTCTTAATTGCTGCCTCGACTTCAGACCTTGTTATTGGTCTATTCATAGTTTCAGCTTCCTCCTGGTTTAGGCTTCGGAGGACACAGGAGTCCAGGAATTTATCCATTTCTTCCAGGTTTACTAGTTTATGCGCATATAGTTGTTTGTAATATTCTCTGATGATGGTTTGAATTTCTGTGGAATCTGTGGTGATTTCCCCTTTATCATTTTTTATTGCATCTATTTGGCTGTTCTCTCTCTTTTTTTTAATCAATCTGGCTAGTGGTCTGTCTATTTTGTTGATCTTTTCAAAAAACCAGCTCTTGGATTTATTGATTTTTTTGAAGGGTTTTTCGTGTCTCAATCTCCTTCAGCTCAGCTCTGATCTTAGTAATTTCTTGTCTTCTGCTGGGTTTTGAGTTTTTTTGATCTTGCTCCTCTAGCTCTTTCAATTTTGACAATAGGGTGTCAATTTTGGATCTCTCCATTCTCCTCATATGGGCACTTATTGCTATATACTTTCCTCTAGAGACTGCTTTAAATGTGTCCCAGAGGTTCTGGCATGTTGTGTCTTCATTCTCATTGGTTTCGAAGAACTTCTTTATTTCTGCCTTCATTTCGTTGTTTACCCAGTCAACATTCAAGAGCCAGTTGTTCAGTTTCCATGAAGCTGTGCGGTTCTGGGTCGGTTTCTGAATTCTGAGTTCTAACTTGATTGCACTATGGTCTGAGAGGCTGTTTGTTATGATTTCAGTTGTTTTGCATTCGTTGAGCAGTGCTTTACTTCCAATTATGTGGTCAATTTTAGAGTAGGTGTGATGTGGTGCTGAGAAGAATGTGTATTCTGTGGATTTGGGGTGGAGAGTTCTGTAAATGTCCACCAGGTTTGCTTGCTCCAGGTCTGAGTTCAAGCCCTGGATATCCTTGTTGATTTTCTGTCTGGTTGATCTGTCTAGTATTGACAGTGGAGTGTTAAAGTCTCCCACTATTATTGTGTGGGAGTCTAAGTCCTTTTGTAAGTCATTAAGAACTTGCCTTATGTATCTGGGTGCTCCTGTGTTGGGTCCATATATGTTTAGGATCGTTAGCTCTTCTTGTTGTATCGATCCTTTTACCATTATGTAATGGCCTTCTTTGTCTCTTTTGATCTTTGTTGCTTTAAAGTCTATTTTATCAGAGATGAGAATTGCAACTCCTGCTTTTTTTTGCTTTCCATTTGCTTGGTAAATCTTCCTCCATCCCTTTATTTTGAGCCTTTGTGTATCCTTGCATGTGAGATGGGTTTCCTGGATACAGCACACTGATGGGTTTTGGATTTTTATCCAATTTGCCAGTCTGTGTCTTTTGATTGGTGCATTTAGTCCATTTACATTTAGGGTTAATATTGTTATGTGTGAATTTGATACTGCCATTTTGATGCTAAGTGGCTGTTTTGCCTGTTAGTTGTTGTAGATTCTTCATTATGTTGAAGCTCTTTAGCATTCAGTGTGATTTTGGAATGGCTGGTACTGATTGATCCTTTCTATGTGTAGTGCCTCTTTTAGGAGCTCTTGTAAAGCAGGCCTGGTGGTGACAAAATCTCTGAGTACTTGCTTGTTCACAAAGGATTTTATTCTTCCTTCACTTCTGAAGCTCAGTTTGGCTGGATATGAAATTCTGGGTTGAAAGTTCTTTTCTTTAAGAATGTTGAATATTGGCCCCCACTCTCTTCTGGCTTGTAGTGTTTCTGCCGAGAGATCTGCTGTGAGTCTGATGGGCTTCCCTTTGTGGGTGACCCGACCTTTCTCTCTGGCTGCCCTTAGTATTCTCTCCTTTATTTCAACCCTGTTGAATCTGACGATTATGTGCCTTGGGGTTGCTCTTCTTGCGGAATATCTTTGTGGTGTTCTCTGTATTTCCTGCAATTGAGTGTTGGCTTGTCTTGCTAGGTGGGGGAAATTTTCCTGGATGATGTCCTGAAGAATATTTTCCAGCTTGGATTCATTCTCTTTGTACCCTTCTGGTACACCTATCAAACGTAGGTTAGGTCTTTTCACATAGTCCCACATTTCTTGGAGACTTTGTTCATTCCTTTTTGCGCTTTTTTCTCTGATCTTGGTTTCTCGTTTTATTTCATTGAGTTGGTCTTCGACTTCAGATATTCTTTCTTCTGCTTGGTCAGTTCGGCTATTGAAACTTGTGTTTGCTTCGTGAAGTTCTGGTATTGTGTTTTTCAACTCCTTTAATTCATTCATATTCCTCTCTAAGGTATCCATTCTTGTTATCATTTCCTCGAATCTTTTTTCAAATCTTTTTTCAAGGTTCTTAGTTTCTTTGCATTGATTTAATACATGATCTTTTAGCTCACAAAAGTTTCTCATTATCCATCTTCTGAAGTCTAATTCCGTCATTTCGTCACAGTCATTCTCCGTCCAGCTTTGCTCCCTTGCTGGTGAGGAGTTTTGGTCCTTTCTAGGAGGCAAGGTGTTCTGGTTTTGGGTGTTTTCCTCCTTTTTGTGCTGGTTTCTTCCCATCTTTGTGGATTTGTCCGCTGGTCGTCTGCGTAGTTGCTGACTTTTCGTTTGGGTCTCTGAGTGGACACCCAGAATGTTGATGATGAAGTATTTCTGTTGCTTGGTTTTCCTTCTACCAGTCTAGCCCCTTCGCTGTACGACTGCTGAGGTCCGCTCCAGACCCTGCTTGTCTGGGGTGCACCTCTAGTAGCTGTGGCACAGCGAGGGATGCTACCAGTTTCTTTTTCTGCTCTCTTTGTCCCAGGATGATGCCTGCCTAATGTCAGTCTTTTGGATATAGAGGGGTCAGGGAGCTGCTTGAGGAGACAGTTTGTACTTTATAGGGGTTTAATTGCTTAGCTGTGCACTCTGTTGTTCATTCAGGGCTGTTATGCTGCTATGTTTGATTCTGCTGCAACAGAGCTCATTAAAAAACCCTTTTTTTTTTTTTTTCTCAAATGCTCTGTGTTGAGGGGTTTGGGCTTTCTTTTTGGATGTCCGATCAGGTGTCCTGCCCAGCTAGAAGGCAGACTAGCCACTGTTTGGCTGCCGAGGCTCCGCCCTGCTGTTGTGTGATTCGTGCTGTTCCTGCCGGCTCTGCTGTGGTCTCCGCCACGCCCTGCGGCAGAGTCTCTTCGTTGTAGCGTGTTGCCTCAGCAACGGCAGGCTGCGTCAGCAGTGGGCGTGTATCTCAGTTGGGGTGGGTTGCCTCCGCAACGGCTGGCTGCGTCAGCAGTGGGCGTGTATCTCAGTTGGGGCGGGTTGCCTCGGCAACGGCTGGCTGCGTCAGCAGTGGGCGTGTATCTCAGTTGGGGCGGGTTGCCTCGGTAGTGGTGGACGCCCCTCCCCCACAGAGCGTCTCGGACCGTCTGCTCGGGATAGTTTGAAATCGCGGTTTTGTTCGTCCCACTGGGTATCCCAATCCCTGCAATCCCCTGGGCTGGGCTACTGTCCAAGTCTCGTTCAGTCTCAAGTCCAGCCCTCTCAAGTCTCAGGTTGCCAGTTCAACAGGGCACCCAGACAAGCGCGCCCTGTGGGGATTGCTGGGTAGGGCCGGCTGCCGCCGCCCCGGCTGCCGGCTTCGCCAGGCAGACCTACTGCCTGGCGTCCCGTGTCTTTTTTATACTTGGGAGTTTCCCCATTCTGTGGACAACAAAGATCAGTCTGGAAATGCCGCTCTGACTCACCGTTTGCAGATTCAATGAGAAGAGCTCCAATCCTGAGTTGTTCTCACAGCGCCATCTTGAGTCCTCGCCTCAAATATGTTTTCTAATAGCAAATTTAACATATTTTCAAATAAATATCAAGCAAAAAATCTGATTAGTGTAAAGTAGTGACAAGGAGAAGTTAAGTGAAATCCTACTCTGCAATTTAAAGAAATCTGACAGAAAACAACCAAGAGCTAGGAAATTGATCCATGGCACAGCAATATTGCAATAAGAAATAGGACAGCAGCCTCTTTAGCAATGTAAGACTCTCTTGAAGTCAACAGAATATTAGCTAATATGACTATTAAGTGCCTAGACTATAAGTTTCCTAATGGCTGGAACTATGTCTTACTTATTTTTGTATTTAACACTTCACAGTTCCTGACAACCAATAAGTTTGCATGGATATAAAAAAAAATAATAAAAATAATAAATTTAAATATGCTATGTAAATGTCACTATTAAACATAATATGCTTATTCTTTTCCAAAATAGTTTTATAGGAAAAGAATTACTGATCGACTTTGCATGTAATAATTTGATCGGCAAACTGATCGCTATTTTAAAAATGTGGACAATGCAACAAATTGCAAACTCTACAACTGTGTGGGAAGTTTTTGAACTGCCTTCTAGTGTGCTTGGGACGACAATAAAACACACATCCCAGTGCTGTTGCATGACATAGCTTGAACAAAAGAGAATAAAGAGGATGATTGAATGGAGATGAAAAACTGCACCAGGGTAAAAGAATTTATTTTCCTTGGCCTAACCCAGAATCAGGAAGCAAGCTTGGTCCTGTTTCCTTTCCTACTCTTGGTGTATGTGATGACTCTGCTGGGAAACCTCCTCATCGTGGTCACTGTCACTTGTGAATTTCGCCTTCACACATCCACGTATTTTTTGCTCCGTAATTTATCTGTTGCCGATATCTGCTTCTCCTCCATCACAGCGCCCAAGGTTCTGGTGGACCTTCTATCTGAGACAAAGACCATCTCCTTCAATGGTTGCTTCATTCAGATGTTTCTCTTTCACTTCATTGGAGGAGTGGATGCATGTTCTCTATCAGTGATGGCATTGGATCGATATGTGGCCACCTCCAAGCCCCTGCACTATGTGACCATCATGAGTAGAGACCGTTGCATTGGGCTAACAGTGGCTGCCTGGGTGGGGGGCTTTGTCCACTCCATCGTGCAGATTTCCCTGTTGCTCCCTCTCCCTTTCTGTGGACCCAATGTTCTTGACACTTTCTATTGCGATGTCCCCCAGGTTCTCAAACTCGCCAGTACAGACATTTTCATACTTGAACTACTAATGATTTCCAACAATGGACTGCTCACCACACTGTGGTTTTTCCTGCTCCTGGTGTCCTACATGGTCATATTATCATTACTCAAGTCTCAGGCAGGAGAGGGCAGGAGGAAAGCCATCTCCACATGCACCTCCCACATCACTGGTGACCCTGCATTTCGTGCCCTGCATCTATGTCTATGCCCGGCCCTTCACTGCCCTCCCCACGGATAAGGCCATCTCTGTCACCTTCACTATCATCTCCCCTCTGCTCAACCCTTTGATCTACACTCTGAGGAACCATGAGATGAAGTCAGCCATGAGGAGACTGAAGAGATGACTCAGACCTTCTGAAAGGAAATAGACCTGTACTTCTCTCCTTCTCACCGCTTTTGAAAACACATGCCCCGCAAATACACTCTACTCACTAATTGATTTCTAATTGTTTTTTAGTCTACTAATAAGAAACACATAACTTTCAAACATTCTGAGTAGCAGGCCATAATAATGTAGAAAGATGGGTCTGTGTCACAGGAGAAAGTACATGGATACAATTGTTAGCAGGAGAGGTGTATCGTTTTTGCAATACAGCCTTGGAAAAACTAAAGGAAATGGAATCAAAATACACTCAGACATTTCCACTACAGTCCTGTGTTGTTGCCAGGAAGGGAGCTGAAACACATATTAGAAATACGATGCAGCTTGGACATTAGACTCCATGAAATCTTTCATGAAGTCAACAGATCCTGATTTTAAAAGACACATCCCAGTTAAGTTTCTCCTCCAATTCTATTATATGAATCAAAGAATACCAACTTGAGGTTTTTTAATCTCAAGCCTACCTACCAGTAGCTGAGAGCAGGTGCTTGGATTAGCACGGCTTGAATTAGAACATGATCTCACACATTGTGATCTCTGTGACCTTGAGCACAGTTCTAACCTGATTTTCCTCTGAACCCCAGGCCTACTGGTCACCCCTCCAGGACATTCCCTCAGCAGCCTGTGTTTGGCTGTAGCACAACACTTGGGGCCCTGTTTCAATTCCCTGTTCTCTTTCTCCCAATCTCCCCCAGTAGGATTATGCTTTATTTATTGTCATGTCCCCAACACCTGGCACAAGTATAATATAATAAACCCTACTGAAAATTACTAAATTAAAACATTCAATGAATGAACATTGCCTCTCACTCATTTCTGCTATTCAAATCATTGGAGGCCAAGGAGGGTGGATCACGAGGTCAGGAGTTCAAGACCAGCCTGGCCAAGATGGTGAAACCCTGTCTCTACTAAAAATACAAAAATTAGCTGGGCATGGTGGCTGCTGCCTGTAATCCCAGCTTCTCAGGAGGCTGAGGCAGATTATTGTTTGGACCTGGGAGGCAGAGGTTGCAGTGAGCCGCGATCGCGCCACTGCACTCCAGCCTGGGTGACAGAGCAAGTCTCCATCTCAAATAAAAAGAAAAAAATGATGAAGAAAAAGAAAATAATTCATATTTACTCTCTGGAAACATGAATTTCTAAAATGACTGAAATCTTTGAAGCTGCTTCAGACTGTGCACATTTATTCAAAAAGCTGGAAAAAAGTGAGAAACATTATTCAATATATCAAGTTGGTTTTTATTTGTTTACTTAATGTGTTATCACGGCTGCTGGGAATTGTTCTTTCATTTTTTGTTTTGCACATTTCTGGAGGTAGATCCTAGATATCTTAAAACTATTGAAACTAGCAAAATGTGTGTGTCAGCATACAAATCTCAGTTCACAAATCAGATATGCAAAGGCCCTGAGATGGGGATGTGTCCACAGGGTCCAAGAAACAGCAAGGAGGCCGTTGGGACTAAGTGAGAGAAAGCAAGTAGAGAGGAAGTACCTGTGGTTGAGTTCAGAGAGATGGTGGGGCCAGGTCATCACGACTTTGTGGGCAGTTGCAAAGCTTTTAGCTTTCACACTGAGTACGACGGACACATTTGGAGGTCTTTGAGGAACAGATGAGGGATAAGAACAAGAACCGGGAACCAATTCAAAACCTACTATGATAGCCCCATGAGAGAAAGAATGAAGACCTGACTTAGAATGGTAATGGTGGTCATGGTGAGAAGTCTGAAAAACTTTGAAGGTCAAGTTAGCAGGATTTGCAGATGAACCCGACATGGGTTTCCTGACTACTGTGTATCCTGTGAGAACTCCATGCAATTTGGTCCTCAGGCCATTGAAAGCTCCTTCATTCTCACCTACATGATCCCTTCAAATCCAATATCTCCTTCCAGTACTTACGTGTCACACTCCAGACTCATCCTGCACACATGGGACTGCAAGAATAGGAACGTATTCCCCAGCAGAAGCCAAAGGTTCACGTCATTTAGTTACATTGTAGGAGTCAGTATAGCTGTGGAATTTTCTTAGGGACTCGCACTTCCCTGAAAGCATCCATGTAATCAAAGCTGCAAAAATAAATTAATTAAAATAAAATTAACTTTTTATATTCATGAACAAAGGTACCTGGAAATGATCAATAATATAAAAAGTCAGGTTTTTGTTTTGTTTTCTTTGGTTGCTACCATTTATCATGCTATTTCTTTATATTTTCAAATCACTTAATAAATACTATTTTTTTTAACAAAGGCACCAGTATTTCTTGGAGAAATGACTGATTTTAGGACTGGGGCAGGAAATATACAATACAAGCCTGGAGCATCTTTTAGCGCCAAAAACAAGGAAATGTTTACAAAGCAAAACAGTGGAGGTATGTCAAAGGATCACAGGAGCCAACCGAAAGAGTTCCCCATGGCCAAAGTCAGAACAGCAAAATATATAATGTAGTCATGGATTACAACCCAAAGTATAAAATAAATATCCGTGAGCCCATACTAATATAAATAAATGACTGAACAAATAAATAAATGGCAGATAATAGACAAATCTTTCATGAAGAATAATTCCAAATTATGTATGTAGATTCTCCGCCCTCAAGGACATGGAACATGACTCCCAATTCTTTTTTTGTTTTGTTTTTAATTGAGACATGGTCTCACTCTCTTGCCCAGGCTGGAGGGCATTGCTGCATCTTGGCTTACTGTAGCCTCAACCTCCTAGGCTCAGGCAATCCTCCCACCTCAGACCCACAAGTAGCTGGGACTATTGGCAGGTGCCATCATGCCTGACTAATTGTTGTATTTTTAGTAGAGACAGAGTTTCACCATGTTTCCCAGCCTAGTCTTAAACTGGGTTCAAGGAGTCCTCCTGCCTTGGCCTCCCAAATTCCTGGGTTTACAGGCACAAGCCACCACACCCAGCCCCAACTCTCTAAGTATGAGTTATAAATAACGTCATCAGTGATCAATCATGTTAATGGCATGTACCCTGATATGGTTTGACTATGTCCTCACTCAAATCTCACCTTGAATTGTAGCTCCCATAATTCCCATGTGTTGTGGGAGGGATCCGATGGGAGACATTTGAATTATGGGGGCAGTTTCCCCCATACTGTTCTCATGGAAGTGAATAAGTCTCATGAGATCTGATGGTTTTATAAGGGGTTTCCCCTTTTGCTTGGTTCTCATTCTCTCTTCCCTGCCACCATGTAAGATGTGACTTGCTCCCCCTTGCATTTCGCCATGATTGTGAGGTTTTCCCAGCCATGTGGAACTGTGAGTTAATTAAACTTCTTTCCTTTATAAGTACCCTGTCTCGGGTATGTGTTTATCAGGAGCACAAAAATGGAATAACACATACCATTTGATATGATGTGATGAGAGTGGCATTTGGCCTCTGCGGTCTTTCTCCCAGACGTCTGCAACCCATGTCTAACCACGAGAACATCACCAGAATAGGCCCAATTGAAGGACATTGTGTAACAGCGGTGCTCAACCTTTTTGGCACCATGGGCTGGTTTGGCAGAGGAGAATTTTTCCACAGACCAACGTGGCGGGGATGGTTTTGGGATGATTCAATGCGTTACATTTACCATGCACTTTATTTATATTATTATTACATGTAATATATAATGAAATAATTATACAACTCACCATAATGTAGAATCAGTGGGAGCCCTGAGCTTGTTTTTTTGCAACTAGATGGTCCCAGCTGGGGGAGATGGGAATAAGTGACAGATCATCAGGCATTAGAGTCTTGGAAGGAACATGCAACCTAGATCCCTCATATGCACAGTTCGCAGTAGTGTTCCTGCTCCTGTAGGAATCTAATGCCCTGCTGATCTGACAGGAGGTGGAGCTCAGGCAGTAATGCTAGCAATGAGGAGTGGCTGTAAATACAGACAAAGCTCCTCTCGCTGGTTCACCTGCCACTCACCTCCTGCTGTGGGGCCTGGTTTCTAACAGGGCAAAAGCTGGAACAGTTCATGGCCTGGTGGTTTGGACTCCTGTTGTATAAAACACCTGACAAGGACTCTTCAGTATTGTCAAGGTCATCAAAAACAAGGGACACAATGGGAGCCAGTATGGCCAACATTCCATTTCTAGAAGCTTAAGGCTCTAGATTTTAAAGATGGTCACACAATGTGGCTAGCTATTGAACAGAGTCACATTTCTCACTGTGTGGCAGTCTTGGTGTCTCGTTTCATTTGACTTTGTTTTATGTTTTAGTATAGATGGCCAACCATGCTGCTCCATCCTGTGCCTGCTTCGACCTTTTCCCAAACTGGGGATCCCAGTCAATAAAGTAAGTGGTGAGATCTGGAGAAACGATGAGCCATCTCCCAAACCTTCATGCCCCTGTGCTGTCTGTTACTAGAAGTTCCATTTCCAGTTCTCTTTGTGTAAGTTGTTAGACTTGGAAATAGAATAGGATGGAAGACCAGACAGTGAGTCCAATCTCCTTGTTAGCTCCAAGTTTCTCTGCACCCTCTGATTACCAAAAACAGCACTTTAGGAGTTTTCTTAGGAATAGAGCTTGACATGTTTCAACATAACCTTTCTTCCTTTTGGAGCCAGAAGACAAGGAGATTCACTTTTCAGTTGCCTCTGGAAAATTTTATGCTCTAGGCAAAATGTGTGTTCCTAAGCATATGTGTCTGAGTGACTTCTTAGTTATTCCCCCTGAGACAACCTCACCGCCAGCAGAATTTTTCCACAACCACATCAACTAAAATCCCTCTGATAATTCTCACACTAGTTCTGGGATTAAGGAACTGGTAAATATGACGGGACACTGTGAATCAGTGTGAAAGAGCCAAGAAAATATTATTCCCAAGTCCTCTCCACATTAAGATAGAAGAGACACCATTGAAATAACTGGTCGTCAGAGGGGTGTTGAGCAGAGTTTTCTGAAGTTGTATGATTCCCAAGGTTCATGTGAACATTACTCAAAATGTTGGAGTTCTTGGAAGAAGGTTGCAGATTTTAGGTAAAAAGTGTGTGTGTGTGTGTGTGTGCGCGCGCGCGCGTGCACACGCCGGTGTCTGGATGTTTATGCATAGAGTGAGAAAATAAGAATAAGAAAAATTGAAATCTAGGTGTAATTATTAAGATTCACAATCACACTGTGATATGTGTACAAGATGCTGCATTCTGGGGAGAGCCTTCCTCTAGTAACAGCGCAAGTTAGAAATACTAACAAAGAGTCCCTTGTGAAATGAGAAACAGAATTGAGGTCAGTTTGGAATTGGGAAAAGGCAGCTTTTGCCCTCTGAGACCTCTTGAATGGTACAGAGAAGAGATTTTTCTCAGTCTTCATGTCTATAGATGGGTCTTCTTAGGCTGATATCAACAGAGGAAATTCTTATCCTCACCTTAAACATACAGTAACACATAAAATATTTTGAACACTCACAAATGTTTAAAGACTCAGACATAAACACCAGTCTACTCTTCTTTAGATCTAACACGAACGTAAGAAGTTTATAGTGTAGGCAACAGGAGAAAACTTCCCCTTCATGCTCTGAAAGTTCGCTGAAAATCAGCTGACAAAAGGCAGACAATTAGAAGAAAAGAAATACAAATGTACTTGATCATAGTTTTACATGACATGGGAGGCTTCAGAATGAAGACCCAAAGATACAAGGAAAATGTTCATTTCTATGTTTAGGTCCAATGAAGTAGGCATAGCCATGTAGAAATACAACTGGACAAAAAAGGTATGATCGCTTGCTTTGGCAGCACATATAAACTAAAATCAGGAAAATACAGCAGAGATTAACATGGCCCCTTTACAAGGATGGCACACAAATTCATGAAGCACACCATAAAGATTGAAATTTAAAATTTGAAGAAATTATATGATCTAATGCTAATGGACAACGGGGAAGCCCAGCAAGGCCTGTCTGTTTAGATCCTGTTTGGCCTCTCTAAGCAGCAATTCCTTCCTCCTGGGTATGAGTTAGTGCTTGCTCTCTCTCTCTCTGGAATGGAGTTCTGATGACCTACGATCACAGTAGACCTGAGAATTTATTTATGGCCAACTCTTACACAGAAAGGCAGAGTAATGGGGAAGGTAGAATAATATCTTCAGGTTTTATGGCTGGCTTTGGAGAAAAAGGGTTGTGGTTTCCATGATCCGTCTTAGGGAAGAGGTATTGTAGTTTCTACAGCTAACCTTGGGGAAGAATGAAGAGCCGGAGACCTGACACAGGACGGCAGGAGGAGGTCAGAGAGAAACTTGTACTTTGGAGGCTGCTTCTGAGGCCTTCATTATGGGGTATTGTTTTCTGACACTTTACAATAGCAGTGATTTTCTTTTCTCTGTCTTTCCACGCTGTCATGATTGCACCCTTACTTTCCAGCCAAACTTCCCACTCATAAGCAAACTTCACATATTTAAATAGTCCCCTAAGGCCAGAAGATCCTTTCTCCCTGTTCCTATACATCCCAAACATAAATGCCACTTCCTCCGCACAGCTTCGCTGAGCCTTGGTTGGAAATCATCCTCTACTCACACTCAGCTCTTTGTTTGCCCTCAGATGGTCCCCATCACTCCCATATATTGGATTTCAATGCTTTCACACTGTGTTTACATTATATGCCTTTCTCTCAAATAACCTAGAACTCTTCCCTTATTCCCTCAATAGTTGCTAAATAATTGGATGGATTAAAAGTAGCAGGCGTTTTCTTTAAATTACCAAAGGCAGTTTGTGAACATGAGACCTATTTCCTTCTGACCAATAAGGCTGGCATGGGATCTGGGATATGGTCTCCCTTCCACTTCTTTGTGTGTAAACAGCGTGGTGTTTACATGGGAGTCCCCTTGAAGACTTTAATAACTACACTGGTTTTCATCAACATCTCTAGAAACTATACTGAGTTGGTGTTCCTAGTGACTGTTTCCTCTCTTTTTACACTAATCAGGATTGATATCTACCATTTAGTTCAACACATTCCGTTTACTGATGAGGCTCCGCTGTTAGGGTTCCCCAGCATAGCACTAATCATGACAGATAACCAGCCCGTACGCTGAGAAGTTTACCCATGTTAGTTCTTCAGCCCTCACAACTTCCCTGTGAACTGGGTATTATTATCATCCCCATGCCACAGATGGAGAAGTAGAGGCTCAATGGGGTCATGCACTTGCCCAAATCACACAGTGGCAAAACCAGGACTTAAACCCAGATGACTCTCGATCCCAGAGCCCTCGCACTGAACAATTTCTCTGGTCTGCTATTAAGATGTCAGAGAAGAAGCCAAACCACGCAAGTGCTCTTTTTACTCTCCTACGCCGTCACCACCCTCTGGGTCACTGGAAGGCAATTATCTCCTAATTCCTTCAAAACAGTTAACGTTCTGACGAAGTGGTTGAGGATATACATGTGGAAAACATGCAGCTCCTCTAAAAGAAAGTCCATAAATATTGGCAATATATTTATTGAAGAAGTTGTGTGTGGGAATTATTAACCTGCACTTGTCTTTAAGGTAGCACACATGTAATTACACTTATTACAGATTAGGCAATGCTCTAAGTACGGATGCTCCACATACATTAATTTATTTAACCCTCACAAAAGTCTTATGAAGGAGATGCTATTGTCTCCAAATTACTGATACATAGAATGAGGTCATGGGGTGAAGCAATTTGTGCATGTTAGCTCAGCCAGTAAGTACTCAGCTGGGCTTTGAACAGGCTGTGTGGTGCCAGAGTCCACCAGGCATCTACCTCGAAGGTAGAATACTTCTTGGCAGCTTGTTATTTAGATTTACCCATTAAATAGATTGTGGACAAAACTGCATAGAGACGAAAGAAAACTTGAAGTCAAAGTGAGGTAACTGAGAAATATCTTCATTTACATTGGAGAACACACCCAAAAAATGGGAGGAATGGGACTTTTGCCCTTCTTTTGTTTTTGATTATGGAAAGAAAAAGGAGATAAACTAGGAAGAAAGAAAATAAGGCCCATTTCAAAGAATTACAAAAAAAAAAAAGAAAGAAATTCAAAAGCAGCACAATTATAAGGTAAGTATATGTGCAACAGTTTAAAAAATACCGCTGGCCAGGTGTAGTGGCTCATGCCAGTAATCCCGACACTCTGGGAGGCCAAGGCAGGTGGATCACCTGAGATCAGAAGTTCAAGACCACCCTGCCCAACATGGTGAATCCCACCTTTACTTAAAATACAAAAATTAGCCAGGCATGGTGCTGTGTGCTATAATCCCAGCTACTTGGGAGGCTGAGGTGGGAGAATCACTTGAACCTGGGAGGCGGAGGTTGCAATGAGCCTAGATCGTGCCACTGCACTCCAGCCTGAGCAACAGAGCAAAACTCCGTCTCAAAAAAAAAAAGAAAAAGGAAAAGAAAAAAAGAATAGACTTCGTCTCAAAGAAAAAAAAAAGGCAAACTGTTTTCAAAAGTGATTATGCCATTTTACATTCCCACTGGAGTTCCGTTCCTCCACATCTTTGTCCACTCTTTATCAGTCTTTTTCATTTTAGTAATTCTAATGTATACTATTTTTGAATTACACTGTTGTTTTAATTTATGTTTTCTCCTTGATAAATGATGTTGACCCTTTTTCTGTGCTTACTTCCTATCTCTGTGTCTTCTTGCTGAAAGTGTCTGTTCAAATAATTTGTCCTTTTTTCTTTTCTTTTTTTTAACTTCTTTTAGTGACTTCATTTTTTTGTTTATTTGTCCTTGTTGCTTAATTGGCTTATGTGTTCTCTTATTATTGAATATTAAGAGTTACAGCCATTCCACTCCTAGCTACTTACCCAAGAGAACTGAAAACATATGTCCACACGAAGACCCAAAGGTGAATGTTCATAGCAGCTTTATGGCTACTATTCGAAAGCCACAAATAACCCAAGTGTTCACCTGCAAGTGAATGGATAAGCAAATGGTGATATATTCATACAATAAAAAGGAACAAAATAGCAGTACACACAAAACAATGGATGAATTTCATGGCTGAAAGAAAGCAGACAAGAGAAAAACGCATACAGTAGAATTTCATTATAGAATATTGTAGAAAATACAAACAATGTATAATGACAGCAAGCAGATCCGTGGTCGCCTGAAGAAGGAAGGGTAGAAGGAACAGGTTACAAAGGGGTATAAGGACGTTTTCTGGGTGATACATGTATTCACTCTCTTAACTACAGAGATGGTGTCACGGGTATATACTATGTCAAAACTCATCGAAGTGTGAACTCAAATATGTGCAGTCTACGGTATGTCAATGGTAGCTCAACAAAAATTATTTCTTAAGAATGAAATTGAAACAACAGAAGAGAAGCTCTGAGTAATAATTTTATTTCCATAGCTGAGGAGCTATTCACCACCCAGGGGTTTCAGTACCTCAAGTAGCTTAAAGTAAAGAAAGAAACAAAGACATCCCCTTAAAGAAGAATAGAACAATAGAGATGAATTTTATGGTTTAAAAATTTCCTAATTTTTTATGGAACTAAGTTTGAGATTTAAATGCCGCTTACGTACAATTCAGTCCAATGGTGGGTGGGGCATTTTGCAGACAGAGGTTCTTAGAACCATTTAAATGGAGCATCCAGTCTGGGGGAAAAAAGCCAAAATCCTGTGAAATTCATGGTGTTCTAGACACACAAAATAAGCACTGCCTTACTCACACAACAAACTAATCCCGTGTTTATATTCCCCATGCCACAACAGTCTCTTTCTGAATAGTTAATATCCCCCTCTGTTTATCTTGAATAATGTTCTTAGTATCTTGAATAACTGGAACATCATTTTTATACATTTTTTTAAAATGTAATTTGCATAAGTGTATGCATGATTGTATAATAAGATGTCATTTTAGATGCATTGGGAATAACCTTGAAATTGCAATTCATGTGGTGATAATATCTCACAAGTTTTCAGACCCAATACTTGAACCTTTTAAGAGGGAGTAAACACTTTCTGAAATAACGTTTTTTTCCAAGATCTTCAAGAAAGAGAAAACACGATTAATGGAGTTGGGAAATGGCACCAGAGTAAAAGAATTTATATTTCTGGGACTGACTCAATCCCAGGACCTAAGCTTGGTCTTGTTTCTTTTTTTATGTCTTGTGTACATGACGACTCTGCTGGGAAACCTCCTCATCCTGATCACTGTGACCTGTGAGTCTCACCTTCACACTCCCATGTACTTCCTGCTCCGCAATCTAGCCATCCTTGACATCTGCTTCTCCTCCGTAACTGCTCCTAAAGTCTTGCTGGACCTTCTGTCAAAGAAAAAGACCATATCCTATACAAGCTGCATGACACAGATATTTCTCTTCCACCTCCTTGGTGGGGCAGACATTTTTTCTCTCTCTGTAATGGCGTTTGACCGCTACATGGCCATCTCCAAGCCCCTGCACTATGTGACCATCATGGATAGGGGACGATGCACTGCCCTCATCACGGCCTCCTGGGTGGGGGGCTTTGTCCACTCCATTGTGCAGATCTCCCTGCTGCTGCCCCTCCCTTTCTGTGGACCCAGTGTTCTTGACACTTTCTACTGCGATGTCCCCCAGGTCCTCAAACTCGCCTGCACTGACACTTTTGCTCTTGAGCTCCTGATGATTTCAAACAATGGCCTTGTCACTACCCTGTGGTTTATATTCCTGCTTGTGTCCTACACAGTCATCCTAATGATGCTGAGGTCTCAGGCAGGAGAGGCCAGGAGGAAAGCCATCTCCACCTGCACCTCCCACATCACTGTGGTGACCCTACATTTCGTGCCCTGCATCTATGTCTACGCCCGGCCCTTCACTGCCCTCCCCACAGATAAGGCCATCTCTGTCACCTTCACTGTCATCTCCCCTCTGCTGAACCCTTTGATCTACACTCTGAGGAACCAGGAAATGAAGTCAGCCATGAGAAGACTGAAGAGAAAGCTCGTGCCTTCTGAAAGGGAATAGAAAACAAATCCAGCTCTTCATCACCAAAGACGCCTTATATCATTTTTCCCATGAATTCACATTTATGTTCTCAGATATACTGTCAACAAACCAACTATACTGACTATGAACAATTTGTTTTCCTATTTAAGTTAGTAAATAACTGATAATCCAGGCTTCTGTGCAGCATGAAGTAACTAGTGTTACAGAAGTGAACTGACTGATATTTTTCCAAAGACCAAGTAACTTTATGTCAATCAAGACAGCTATATGGCAGGCAGATAAGAGATTAATTCCAACGCTTTTCTCAGACTATAAGGAGACAAAAGCCTAGAGTGACAAAGTGATGTGTTCAAGGTCTCATATTAATTACAGAGACATCTTCAGATACCCAAACCCATTGTCTTTCTACTACATTAATGTAATTTATTACATGGTTGGACCTACTATACCAAACTATAATCCTGTTCCAGAAGGATCTTACGATCAATGCCTCTGGTGTACATATATGTGGCTATGTATGGCCTATCACATATTGAGAAATTTGCCTCTGCTGAGTAAAGTGGGCTCATGAGCTACTGAGAACTTCATAGGTATGTAATGGTTATCCTCCTGGATTCCTATCAAGATTGATGAAGCTTGGGAAGATTTCTCATTATGGCCTAAAGGCGTGTATCTTAAGGCAGAACTAGACATGCCAGACATTCTCATTATGAGTTTGAATAAAAGCAGAATGCTCTAGGCCGGGTGCTGTGGCTCACACTTGTAATCTCAGCACTTTGGAAGGCTGAGGCGGTGGATTACCTGAGGTGGGGAGCTCAAAACCAGCCTGACCGACATGGAGAAACCCTGCCTCTACTAAAAATACAAAATTAGCCAAGCATGGTGGCGCGTGCCTGTAATCCAAGCTACTTGGGAGGCTGAGGCAGGAGAATCACTTGAACCTGGGGGTTGAAGGTTGTGGTGAGCTGAGATCGCTCCACTGCACTCCAGCCTGGACAACAAGAGCAAAACTCTGAGTAAAAAAAAAAAAAAAAGGCAGAACTTCGGGAACCAGACACATGAAGCAATCTATCTCTACCATCAAAGGACTGGTTTTCCAGTTACAGCCTTACAAGGGTCAGTTTTGGCTTGGACTCGCCATTGAGAATTCACATTTCTTTTCACTGGAAAGAGAGAGAATGGGGGAGTTAAAGAAGAAAAAACTCTACCTGGTCTATTTTTTCAAATTTCCAGGATTTGCGAAGAGGCAGTATAGACTAGTATTATTATCTGGGAAAGCAGTAAAGTATGGTGGATTAAAGCTCTAACTTCTGAGTCATGCAGACCCAGGTACAAATCCTATCTCTGCCATCCACCAGCTGTGTGATCTCGAGCAAGTTACTTCACCTCTCTCTCCAAAGGTCATCATTCACCTACATAAAGATTCTTGTTATAATATTCATCTCATGAAGTTGTTGTAAATGACAAAATGAGGTGCTTTACATGAAATATATAACACCTGACAGAGAATAAATGTTCAATGAAAAATAAACGTCATTATTAATATCACCTTTATTGCGCTGCCTAACACACCTTCTGTTCCCCACTGGACTGTCACACCCTTCTCCTATATGACCCATACTCTTCATTTTTAGATAAAAACCGGTTGAGTAGAAACAGGAAAATGTATATTGACTTCAAAACATCATGTTAAAATGTCCAGCTTGTTATTTATAAGGCTTAAAGAGTCACCTTGGGCCAAGTGCAGTAGCTCATGCCAGTAATCCCAGCACTTTGGGAGGCCAAGGTGGGTAGATCACCTGAGGTGGGGAGTTTGATACCAGCCTGGTCAACATTTTTAGTAGAGACCCCACATCTACTAAAAATGCAAAAGAAATTAGCTGGGCGTGGTGGTGGACACCTGTATTTCCAGCTACTCAGGAAGCTGAGGCAGGAGAATCTCTTGAACCTGGGAGGCAGAGGTTGAGATTGTGCCTCAATAAAAACTGGTAAAAACTAGGCCAGGCACGGTGGCTCACGCCTGTAATCCTAGCACTTGGCAGACTGAGGCTGGCTGATCACCTGAGGTCAGGAGTTTGAGACCAGCCTGACCAATATGGTAAAACCCCATCTCTATCAAAAATACAAAATTAGCTGGATGTGCTGGCAGATGCCTGTAATCCCAGCCACTTGGGAGGCTGAGGCAGGAGAATCACTTGAATCCGGAAGACAAAGGTTGCAGTAAGCCAAGATCACACCATTGCACTCCAGCCCGAGCAACAAGAGCAAAACTGTCTCAATGAATGAATGAATTAATTAAAATAAACAGAAAATACAAATACACCATAAACCTATACAGTCTCTGAGAGCTGCTCTGACAATAGCCACAGAGCTTTAAATTTTTCATGGTTACTCTCTTATTTATTTAAGTTTCATTTCCTAGCTGATTGCAGGCAAAGTGACTTTGGTCAAGAGGAAGACTGCACAGTCATTGGTGTGGTTTAACAAAACATTTTCTTCCTGAGCCAAAGGGGAAAATGCACTGTCTCATGTGCTTCCTCTAGAGGAAAGGGACGTCCTGAGTGCACTGGTGCCTCTGCATGTATGTATGAGAGGGAACAGAGAAAAAATGAGAAAGAAGGAGAGAGAACAAAAGACAGGGGAGAGCACCTGGCGACATGTTAATGACTCCCACAGAAACTCCTGAGTTGTAGTGTAGTGTATTGTATTGGCCACTCAGCTTCCACATTCATACCTAACAGTATTCCCTTTGCTAATTCCTATATTGGGCTTGTGGCTGAGAGACTCATACAGGTGGCGAAAACGTGGTAAGCAGAAAAGAGTCAGAACACTCTAAGTACTTGAGGTTGCTTTTTCCCATCTGAAGAAAGAAGATAACAAAATCACTCACCTTGAGGTAGGCTTTACATTAAACAGAGAATTTCCCCAGTAGCTACTCCTTGTAAAATGCAGCTGGGGTATCACAAGAGGATCAATTTCCCACTTGAAGATTAAACCAGCAGTTAGCGTTAGTGCGTATGAACTTCTGAAACTGAAAAGCTGTTCGTGCTCAATTTTGAGAAATGCTGCAAATGTGCAGAGGTTCCTGTAGAAGCCAAGACTCTTAAGAGGCAAAGAAAGGAGGGAGTTTTTCACTAGCAGAAAGAGGGAAAGTTTGTCCTGCAAAAATATATCGGAAGAAGGTCAGATGGCTTCAGGAGACGTGGCTGTATTTTACTTGGTCTACTGAGGTTCAGTTTATTAAAGGTAGTTGAGAAGGTGCCGACATCACCAGCTCTCAGGAAAATGACTACCTTGGAAAAACAGCTTTTAAAGGCAGTAATTCCTGAGTTTGGTATATGCACTTTTGCGTCTTGGCTGGGAATGAAATTTTGGAGGTTTCCAGTAAGATGTTTTAATGACTAGATTATCTGTACCTTCATGTGCCACTGAATATGAATAATGCTTCTAATAGAAATTTTAGGGATTCAATCAAGAGTAAGGGATTTTTGAAATTGTAAAAAAGAAAACCATGATATGTGGGGCATCCTAGAAAGTCAACTTAATGTAGAGAATGAGGAAAAGTTTTCTCAGTGGAATCCTGGGGTATGTGGGGATCTCTCAGATTGCAGGCTCTGTCCAAGACACTTGATAAGCTTGTTTCCAAAGAAGGGTCCCCTTTGGGAGGATTTTTTTAAAAATCCTCATTATCTTTATTCTGACCTTGCAAAGACACATTAAATTGTATTTCTTTATTCATTTCCCCACCCACTCTGTTTTTTTTTTTGTTTTGTTTTTTTTTGTTTTGAGACGGAGTCTCCATGTCGCCCAGGCTGGAGTGCAGTGGCTCAATCTCAGCTCACTGCCACCTCCACCTCCCAGGTTCAAGTGATTCTTTTGCCTCAGCCTCCTGAGTAGCTGAGATTACAGGCATGCAGCACCATGCCCAGCTAATTTTTGTGTTTTAGTAGAGACAGGGTTTCACCATGTTGGCCAGGCTGGTCTCAAACTTCTGACCTCAAGTGACCTGCCTGCTTCAGCCTCCCAAAGTGCTGGGATTACAAGTTTGAGCCACCTCACTCAGCCTCCACCCACTCTCTATTGTGAATATGTTTCAATGCAGTGTGCATAATTCTTTACTTTCAAAGTATCCTTCTCACTCTAAAAGATACCATCTGGGGGACACAGTGGCTAACACCTGTAATCTCAGCATTTTGGGAGGCTGAGGCAGAAGAATTGCTTGATCCCAGGAGTTCGTGGCTGCAGTGAGCCATGATCATTGCCACTGCTGCACTCTAGCCTCAGTGACAGAGCAAGACCTTGTTTTAAACACACACACACACACACACACACACACACACACACCACGCAACATCCATAAAAATGCATCAGTCTAGTATTTTCAAGTGGAGTTCACTTTTGAGTTAATGTTACTCACAACTCATTTCTCTTCCTTGCCATTGGAACACTGTATGGTTGATGCAGGTTCTTTGTGAAAATGTCTCTAAATACTGCAAAGTCTGATTCTTCATACTCTACTTTTTTTTCAAAGTCATTTCTGACATCCTCTCATGCTAAGTCAACCCCAGCCACACCTCTTGCTTGCCATATGCAGGCTTCTAACAGCTCCACCTTACACTCATACTACTTTCACTTGATTTGCTAAGAAATTTTGTGAACTCTTTCTTTTGCAACATCTTCTGGGGAGAACTGATCAATATCAGGAAGAAGTGTCGTTGAAGCAGGTAAGAGCATGAGTCCTTGAAATAAGACAAATCTTGTTGTCTTATTGAGACAAAGTTCTACTAGCTGTGAGACCTTAAGCAAGTTACTTAATCTTTCTGTGTCTCAGTTTCCTCATCTATAAAATCAGGATAATAATATCTATTTCACATGAATATTAAAGGTTCTGGAACAGATACAATGAAGCAGTTGTAGGCCAGGCATGGTGACTCACACCTGTAATCCCAGCACTTTGGGAGGCTGAAGCAGGCAGACCACCTGAAGTCAGGAGTTTCAGACCAGCCTAGCCAATATGGTGAAACCTCATCTCTACTAAAAATACAAAATTAGCCAGGTGTGATGGAAGGCACCTGTTATCCTAGCTACTTGGGATGCTGAGGCAGGAGAATCGTTTGAACCTGGGACACAGAGGTTGCAGTGAGCTGAGATCACATCACTGAGCTCCAGACTGGGAGACAAGAGCAAGACTCCGTCTCAAAAATAATAAAAATAAAGTAAAATGAAGCAGTTGGTATAACACATAAGAATCACCCCCATAAGTGTTCTCTAAAAGCAAACAAAAATTGGCAAAGCAGTGCTCCGTTGTTCCGTCCACATTTCTATAATGCTGAGACCTTGAAAATTGCATGGAATCCCCAGGGCCTGATGCTTGGATGATTGAATTTCTTTTTTGAGGATTATGGTTTATATTCTTCCTGTATAAGTCTATAATACAAATATCTATATTTACAACTGCACACAAATATTAATTATTTAATTTACATTTTTGTTTTGTTCCATTTTGTTTTTTGGGGGATGGAGTCTTGCTCTGTTGTCCAGGCTGGAGTGCAGTAGCCTGATCTCAGCTCACTCCAACCTCTACTTCCCAGGTTCAAGCAATTTTCCTGCCTCAGCCTCCAGAATAGCTGGGATTACAGGCACATGCCATCAAGCCCAGCTAATTTTTGTATTTTTAGTAAAGACAGGGTTTTACCATGTTGGTCAGGCTAGTCTTGAACTCCTGACCTCAAGTGATCCCTCCACCTCGGCCTCCAAAAGCGCTGGGATTAGAGGAATAAACCACTGCACCCGGCCTAATTTATGTTTATAAACATGTGTGTGTATACGAATACTCTGATATTTTGAACTTATGCCTTGGCTCAAATCCTTAAGCAAAAAAGAAAAATATTATCAAGAAGAGACGGCATTTTCTGCTTGCTTTAAAGTGTTGGGAAGAGAGTTTTGAACAACAGGGTCAAAAGCATTATGATCCACACTCACACAAGCTCCTGCAGACTGAACTGCCATGTACAGAGGGAAAAATCACTCACCCAGGCTGGCGGGACTGCGTAGTTGCTAGTAAAATCCATTTCCTCAGCTGCCTTTAGTTTTTAAATATGCATACAAGCTCGCCTACTCCTTACGCACATCCCGTGTATGAGGCAGGTCTAATCATATTGTGGATAAATCATCACTGTGCATGTTGAAAACTGACTTTAGTCATGTCCTGTGTACGTCACATACATTTCTCATGAGTTCAGTACTGTTTTTGAGTAACATGCCCATGGTCACACCAGCTAGGAAATGGTACAACCCAAACCACATAAATGTTCCAGGTGATCTATACTTTTGTATTCAAAATGCAAGTGATATTGTTCAGCAGAGTTCCCGGACAGCATGGGGTTTAATAAACATTCTGTGCCTAAATGGCACTGTTTTTCACCTGTGTCGCTACCATGATTTTGTCCAGCCTCAACTTCTTTTCTGCTATTCCATGTGCTTGTAACACTCTTTCTTTCTTTTTTTTTTATTTTTAATATGAGGTTTTACTCACTCTTTCGCCCAGGTTGGAG